CCGGGGTTAAACACCCAACCACCATTTTCAAAAACCTTACAGGAGAACCGGGTTTAAAACCCAAACCACTATCAATAACCTTACAGAGAAACCGGGTTTAAACATCCAAAACCACCCAAATCAAAACCTATACAGAGAGAAGCCCGGGTTAAACACCAACCACCATATCAAACCTATACGGGAAGAAAAACCTGGTTAAAACCAACCACCATTAAATAACCTATACAGAGGGGAACCGGGTTTAACATCCAACCCCCAAATACAAAACCCCTTACAAGAGAACCGGGTTAAACATCCAACCCCATATCAAAAAACCTATACAGGAGACCCCTGGTTACCCCAAACCACCATATAAAAAACCTATACAGAAGAACCGGGTTAACTCAACCACCTATCAAAAACCCTTAAAAGGAGAGCCCTGTTAAACCCCAAACCACCATTCAAAACCCTATACAGAAGAACCGGGTTCATCCAACCCCCATATAAAAACCCTATACAGAGAGGACCCGGTAACACCCAACCACCATATCAAAAAACCTATAAAAGAGCCGGTTTAACCCCAAACCACCATATCAATAACCTATCAGAGAGAGCCCGGGTTTAAACACCCAAACCACCATATCAAAACCATACAGAGAGAGACCGGGTTTTAACACCCCAACCACCATATAAACCTAAAAAGAGAAGACCGGGTTAAACACCCAAACCACCATACATTAACCTATAGAGAGGACCTGGTTAAAATCCAACCCCCATATCAAAAACCTATACAGAGGAGACCGGGTTTAAACACCCCACCACCATATCAAAAACCCTTACAGAGAAGACCGGGTTAAAATCCAACCACCATATCAATAACTATCGAGGAGACCTGGTTAACATCCAACCCCATATCTTTAAACCCTTACAGGGGGGCCCTGGAAACATCCAAACCCCATGTCAATAACCTATAAAAGGAGAGCCCGGGTTTTAACACCAACACCATATATCATAACCTATCAGAGAGCCCGGGTTTAACACCCCACCATATCAAAACCTATCAGAGAGGACCGGTTAACGCCCCAACCCAAATACAAAACCCTTTCGAGAAGCCCCGGTTAAACGCCAAACCCCATATCAAAAACCTATCAAAGAGACCGGGGAAACGCCCAACCCCATTCAATAACCCTATACAGGGGAGAGCCCGGTTAAATCCAACCACCATATCAATAACCAAACAGAGAGGACCGGGGTTAAACCCAACCCCCTACAATAATAACACAGAGAGCCCTGGTTAACCCCAAACCCACCTATATAAATAACCTATCCCGAGGAGACCGGTTAAACAACCACCATACTTTAAACCTATACAGAGAGAGACCTGTTAACTCCAACCCCTATCTTTAACCTTCAGAGAGAGAGACCTGGTTAACACCAACCACCATATCAAAACCTATACAGAGAGGACCGGGTTTTTTAAAAAATCCTACCCCCATATCAAAACCATAAGAGAGAGACCGGGTTAACATCCAACCCCCATATCAAACCTTAAAAAAAACCCGGGTTTAAACATCCAACCCCATTCAAACCTACAAGGAGCCTTTTTAACTCCAACCACCATATCATTACCATAAGAGGAGACCTGGTTAACATCCCCACCATTAAAAACCCTTACAGAAAAGGACCGGGTTAAAAATCCCCACCAAAAACAATAACCTATACAGAGAACCTGGTTAACATCCAACCACCATATAAAAAACCTTACAGAAGAGACCGGGTTTAAATCCACCACCATAAATAACCAACGGGAAGAGACCGGTTAAACCCCAAACCCCCCTACAAACCTATACAGAGAGAGCCCTGGTTAACCCCAACCCCATATCTAACCTTACAAGGAAAACCGGGTTAACCCAACCCCCATATCAAAAAACCTATACAGGGGAAAGCCTGGAAAACATCCAAACCATATCAAAAACCCTTCCAGAGGGGAGACGGTTTAACATCCAACCACCTTTTAAAACCTTCAAAGGGGACCGGGTTTAAAACCCCAAACCACCATTAATTAACCCATACCAGAAAATTTAAAAAATAAAAAAACATTAAACTTTAACGGAAAGACCGGGTTTTCCAAACCAAATTAAAACCAACAGAGAAGGCCTGGGTTTTACAAATCAAAACCTTTAGAGGGGGGGGGGTTTAAACAAAACCTTAAAACCTTACGAAAAAGCCGGGTTAAAAAAACCCCAATTAATTTTCTTTAAGGAAGAGATGGTAAATAAAATTAAAACAAAGGGGGCCTGGTTTTCCCCACCTTAAATAACTTTTTCAGGAAAAAACCTGGTTCCCCCACCTTCAAAACCTTGGGAGCCCTGTTCATCCCCCCCATTCTTTTTCGGGGAGCCCGGTTAACATCCTTTTACCACCATATCAAAAACCTATACGGAAAAGGCCGGTTAACATCCCCCCTTTTAAAAATAACCATACGAAAGACCTGGTTAAAACATAAAACCAACCAATCAAACCAAACAGAAGAGCCCTTTAAATCCCCCCTTTTCAATAACCTATAGAGAGGACCGGGTTTTCTCCCCCCCCAACAAATATCAAAGGGGGTTAAAAATCCCCCCCTTAATCCTTTTCAAAAGCCCTTTTTAACATAAACCATAATTTTACTTTGATTTTACCGGGAATTTTTTTAATTTTATACTCCCCCCCTTGGGAAGAACCCACAACTGTTCCCAAGAGAACCCCTGCGGTTCCCCCTTAAAGGATTCGGGGCCAATTTGCGCCCGCCCCCATTTTCCCCTTTGGGAGAAAAAAGGGGGATTAAAAGGATTTAGGGGAGGTTAATGGTTTTGGAAACCCCCCTGGCCAATTGGGGCCCGGTGCTTTTGAAGGATGGTAAATATCCCCCAGGAAAAAAACAAAAGGGTTTTCCCCCCTTTGGGCCCCGTTTTTTTTCCCTTGGTGCATGTGGGAAAAAGGATTTTTGGGGGGTTTCCAACCTTGTCAAATGTTTGGTTTCCAGCTATTTAAATTGTTGGGAACCCCCCTCTTGTACAAATTTAAAATAGTAGGGATGACGAAAATGTAGTGAAACTTGGGGGAATGCTAGGTGGGTAGATTTTGAAGCTACATCTAAAGTTAAACACAGGGTTGGAAAATTAGGTTGAAAAAAATTCTAAATTAAGTTTAAAGTGGGCTACAGCTAAAAGTTTAACAGAATTAACTACACCTGAAGTTGACCAGCTAAATTGGGAAAATCTAGAATTTGGGGTTCTGAAGGAAAGGGTCTCTGAATTGAGGTACAGCAAAAGGGAAAAGCTCTTAAAGTTAAAGTAATTTAGGGGGGATTGGTTGAAAGAATTGAGGAAGTACTCTTAGTTGTAATTAAAGTTTGAAGTACACTAAAATTTGAAGCCACATCAAATTGAAGTACAGTAAAAGTTAAATTTTTTAAACATTAGAAATTTTGAAGTTCCTAAAAGTTGAAGCTACATCTAGAAGTTGAAGCTAATCTAGAAGTTGAGGCTACATCTAGAAGTTGAAGCTACATCTAGAAGTTGAGGCTCCCCTAAAATTTAGCTACAGCAAATTAAAGCTACATTAAAATTAGGCACAGCTAAACTGAGGCTACGCTAGAATTGAAGCTACATCAGAATTGAGGCTACGCTAGAAGTTGAAGCTCATCAGAAGTTGAGGCTACATCTAGAATTAAGCACTCTAGAGTTAAAAGTCATCTAAATTGAAGCCACATCTAAATTAAAGTACAGCTAAAATTTTAAGTTACATCTAAAAGTTAAAGTTAATCTAAAAAGTTAAAGACTCTGAAGTTAAAAGGCTACATCAAAGTTGAGCTACTCTAGAATTTGAGGGCTACAGCTAAATTTGGGGGAAAAGCTAGAATTTGAAGCTACATCTAGAATTGGGCTACGCTAGAAGCTGAGGCACAGCTAAAAGTTGAAGCTACATCAAAAGTTGAGGCTACAGCTAAAATTTTGAACAAATCTAAAGTTAGGCTACATTAGAAGTTTGAAGCACATCTAGAAGTTGAGGCACAGCTAGAAGTTGAAGCTTATCTAAAGTTGAATCCATCTAAAGTTGGACTGGGGTTTTAAAGCTACATCTAGAATTAAGCTACATTAAAGTTAAGCACACTAAAAGTTAGGCTCACTAAAAGTTGAAGCTACTCTGAATTTAAAGTCACTCTAAAGTTGGATTAGAATTTAAAAGAAAATCTAAAGTTGAGGCTACACAGAAGTTAAGCCATCTAAATTTGAAGCACTTAAAATTTTATCAGAATTGAAGCTACATCTAGAAGTTGAAGCTACATCTAGAAGTTGAGGCTACATCTAGAAGTTGAAGCTACATCTAGAAGTTGAGCTACAGCTAGAAGTTGAGGCTACAGCTAGAAGTTGAAGCTACATCTAAAAAGTTGGGGTAAGCTAGAAGCTGGGCTACAGCAGAATTTTGAAGCTACATCTGAATTTTGAGGCCTCTAAAATTGAAGTAATCTAGAATTTGGGGGGCTACAGCTAGAAGTTAAGTACACTAAATTGAAGTCACATCAAAATTTGGGATCTAGAAGTTGAAGCTAATCTAAATTAAGCTACCTAAAGTTAAGCTACTCTAAAGTTGAAAGTCACATCTAGAAGTTGAAGCCACATCTAGAAGTTGAAGCTACAGCTAGAAGTTGAAGTTACATCTAGAAGTTGAAGTTACATCTGAAGTTGAAGCTACATCTAGAAGTTGAAGCACATCTAGAAGTTGAGGTAATCTAAATTTGAAGCTCATTAGAAGTTGAGGCTACGCTAAGTTAGGCTCACAGAAGTTGAAGCTACACTGAATTTTGAGGCTACGAAAACGAAGTACCTAGAAGTTGAAGCTAATCTAAAGTTGAGGCTACGCTAAAAGTTGAAGTACATCTAGAAGTTGAGGTAAAATTAGAGTTAAGGGACATCTAAAATTTGGGCTACAGCAGAATTTGAAGCAAATCTAATTGAAGTCACATCTAATTTTGGATCTGAAGTTAAAGCTCAATTAGAATTTTTGAAGTACATTAGAATTTAAGCTACTCTAGAATTTTGAAGCACATCTAGAATTTGAAGTAATCTAAATTGAAGTCACATCTAGAAGTTGAAGCTATATCTAGAAGCTGCAGTATACCTTGGGAGGGACTTTCTTCATGTAGTTCCAGCTGTGTTGCTGTGGGCCATTGTTCCTTTTTGTCCGACGGGGCTGCTCTGGCCGTCCTCCCCTGCTCTGTGACTAGGGGTGTTGCTCCACATCCCAATCTCCACCTCCTCCTCTGGCTCCCAGCTGGACTGGCACGACACCTCCTCCCCACACCAGCTACTACTCTCCTGCTGCATGGGCTGCATGGGCTTGGGACCTGGAGAGAGACGGGGGGAGAGAACAGGGGGATGAACCCGAGAAGATGGGGGGTGGACCCGGGGGAGACGGGGGAAGAACGGGGATAGACCTGGGGAAAACGGGGGGAGAGAACAGGGGGATGAAACCCGGAGAGAGACAGGGGGAGGAACGGGGGAAAGAACCTGGGAAAGAAGAGGGAAAACTGGCCTTTTTTAAAAAAAAAAATTTTCCCCCCGGGGGGAAGAGGGGGGAGGCCCGGGAAAGAAAGGGGATAGGGCCGGAAGAACAGGGGATAGGACCCCGGGGGGAAAGGGGAAGGGGCCCGGGAAAAAAGAAGAGGGGGTGGACCTGGAAAGAAAATTTTCCCGGGGAAAAAAAAACCTAAAAGGGGGGGGGAAGGGCCCGGAGAGAGAAAGGGAGACCTGGGAGAGAAGGGGATGGACCGGAGAGAGAAGGGGGGATGGGCCGGGGAGAGAAGGGGGGGGGAAAGGTGGGGGAGGAAAAGGGGGGGTAGGACCGGAGGGGAAGAGGGGGGTAGGACCTGGGGAAGAAGGGGGGATAGGACCCGAGAAGAAGAGGGGATGGCCCCGGGGAGAGAAAGGGAAAAGGGCCTGGGGGAAAAAGAGGGGATAGGACCTGGAGAGAGAAGAGGGGATAGGACCTGGAGAGAGAAGGAGGGGATAGGACCTGGAAGGGAAAAAGGGGGCCCGGAGAGAGAAAGGGGATAGGAGGGAAAAAAAAAGGGGGGGGTAGGTGGGGAAAAGGGGATGGCCCCCAGAGGGGGAAAAGGGGTGGCCGGAAGGAAGGGGGAGGGGTAGGCTGGAAAAAGGAAAGGGGGGAAGGTGGGGAGGAAAGGGGGGTAGACCCCCGGGGGGGAGGGGTAGGAGGGGGAAGGGGGGAAAAAGGGAAAAGGATGGAGGGGGCGGGGGGGGGGGGAGGAGAGAAGAGGGGATAGGGATGGGGGGGAGGGGTAAAAGGGGGAGGGGGGGAGGGGGGGTGAGGAAAAAAGGGGGGTAGGATGGAAGGGGGAGGGGTGGACCCGGGAGGGGAAAGGGGGGGGACCGGGAGGGGAAAGGGGGGGATGCCTTCCCCCCCTCCCCCCCTTTTTTTCCCCCAAGAGAAGAGATAGCCAAAAAAGGGGGGGATAAAAAAGGGGGTAGGACCTAGGAGAAAGGGAGGGCCCGGAGGAGAAGAGGGGTGGACCCGGGGAAAAGAGGGGGGGGTAGGGCCCGGGGAAAGGGGGGGATGGACCTGGGAGGAGGAGGGGATAGGGCCCGGAGAGAGAAGGGGGGATAGGACTGGGGAGAGAGGGGGGGGAAAAACCCGGGGAGAGAAGAGGGGTAGACCTGGGGGGGGGGAAAAAGGTGGCCCCGGGGAGAGGGGGGGAAGAAATGGGGAGAAGAGGGAAGGGGGAGGGAAGGGGCCCCAGAGAGAAAAGGGGGTAGGCCCCGGGAGAGAAAAGGGGGATAGGGCCCGGGGAGAAAAAGAGGGGATAGGACCCGGGAGAGAAAGGGGGGATGGACCCCGGAGAGAGAAGAGGGGATAGGACCCGGAGAGAGAAGAGGGGATAGGACCCGGAGAGAAAGAGGGGATAGGACCCGGAGAGAGAAGAGGGGAAGGGCCTGGGAGAGAGAAAGGGGGGGGACCCGGAGGGAAAAGGGGGTGGGCCCGGAGGGGAAAAAGGGGGAAGGACCCGGAGGAAAAAGAGGGGGTGGACCGGAAGAAAGAGGGTAGGGCCCGGAGAAAAGAGGGGATAGACCCCGGGGAGAGAAGGGGGGAAGGAGGGGGGGAGAGGAGGGGGATAGGGCCCGGGGAGAGAAGAGGGGGTGGACCCGGGGAGAGAAGAGGGGGTAGGCCCGGAGAGAAAGGGGATGGGGCCCGGGGGAGAGGGGGGGATAGGCCCGGAGAGGAGAGGGGATGGACCGGAGAGAAGAGGGGATAGGGGCCCGAAGGAAGGGGGATAGGGCCGGAAGGGGAAGGGGGGTAGGACCTGGAGAGAAAAAGAGGGATAGGACGGAGGAGAAGAGGGGGTGGACCTGGAGGGGGAAGGAGGGGGGGGGTGGACCGGAAGGAAGGGGGGGATAGGACCTGGAAGAGAAGAGGGGGTGGGCCGGAAGAGGAAAAGGGGAAAGGCCCCCGGGAAGAAGAGGGGGGTAGACCCGGAGAGAGGAGGGATAGGGCCGGGGGGGAAAAAGGGAAAAGGGGAAGGACCTGGGAAAAAAGAGGGGATGGACCCGGAAAGAGAAGAGGGAAGGGCCGGAGAAGAAGAGGGGATAGGCCGGGGGAGAAAGGGGGTAGACCTGGGGAGAAAGGGGGTAGGACCTGGAAAAGAAGAGGGGATAGACCCGGAGAGAGAAAAAGGGGAAGGACCTGGAGAAAGGGGGAAGGCCTGGGGGAAAAGGGGATAGACCGGGGAGAGAAAGGGGGTAGGCCGGGAGGGACCCGGGAGGAAAAAGGGGTGGACCTGGAGGAGGGGAAAAGGGGGGAAAAGGCCTGGAAAAGAGGGAAGGACCGGGGAGGAAAAAGGGGGTGGGGGGAGAGAGAAGGGGGGGTAGGCCTGGGGAGAAGAGGGATAGGACCTGGGGAGAAAAAGGGGAAAGGGCCTGGAGAGGGACCCGGAGAGAGGGGGGGATAGGAACCCCCAAAGGGGGGAAGGGGGAGGGGGTAGGAAACCCGGGGGAGAAGAGGGGTAGACCGGAGAAAGGGGAGGGTTTTTGGATTGGCCCAGAGGGGGTGGGCCCGAAGACCAGGCAGGGATAAGAACCCCCGGGGCCGGGAACAGGGTGTTGGGGGAAGGGGGGACTGGGCCCCCCCTGTGGGGGTTGGGGGGTGGCCGTCATTTAAAAAGATTTTTTTCTTAGCTCCCTTTTAAAAATTTAAAAAAAAAATTAAAAAAAGGCCTGAATTTTTTTGGGAAGGGCGCCAAAAGGAAAGTGGGCCGGTTTTGGGGTTTTAAAGGGGCAAATAAAAATTTTTCCCGTTAATTGTTTTTTAAGGGGAAAAATAAAATAAAAGGTCATAAGGGGTGTTACCCGGGGGGTTTTTTTTTTTCCTGTTGGTTTTTAAGGAGAGGGGGATGTTCAGGTTGTGTTTTTCCCTTTTTTCCTGGTATAAGGGAAGGGGATGTCTCCCAGGTTGGTGTGTCTCTTCCTGGGTTTTGGGGGGGAAGGGGGGGCCCCTTGGGTTTTTCCTTTTGGGGGGCTGTTAAGGGGGGCTCTTCCCCTTGGGTTTTGGGAAGGGGGGAAAAGGGGGGGGCTCCCCTTTTGGTTGTGGGGAAGGGGATGCTCCAGGTTTTCTCCTTCTGTCCTGGGTTTAAAGGAGAGAGGGGACTGCTCACCCCCGGGGGTTTCTCCTCTGTCCTGGTGTAAAAAGGGAGGGACTGTCTCACCGGTTTTTTCCTCTTTTGTCTTTGTGGGAAGGGGGGCTTCCAAGGTTGGTGGTTTTTTTCTCTTCCGGTGTAAAAGGAGAGAGGGGACTGTCTCACCAGGTTGGTGTCTCCTTTCTGTTGGTTTAAAAAGGGGGAGGGGGCGTCTCACCGGGGGTGTTCCCCTCTCTCTTTGTCCTGGGGTAAAAGGAGAGAGGGGACTGTCTCACCAGGTTGGTGTTCTCTCTCCTGTCCTGGTTGTAAAAGGAGAGAGGGGACTTCTCACCAGGTTGGTGTCTCTCTCTCTCTCTTGTCCTGGTTGTAAAAGGAGAGAGGGGACTGTCTCACCAGGTTGGTGTCTCCTCTGTCCTGGTTGTAAAAGGAGAGAGGGGACTGTCTCACCAGGTTGGTGTCTCTCTCTTCTGTCCTGGTTGTAAAAGGAGAGAGGGGACTGTCTCACCAGGTTGGTGTTCTCTCTCTGTCCTGGTAGTAAAAGGAGAGAGGGGACTGTCTCACCAGGTTGGTGTTTCTCCCTTTTTCCCCGGTTTTAAAAGGGGGGGGCTTTCTCCCGGTTGGGGGCCCCCTTTTCCCGGTTGGGGGGGGTGTTTAAGGTTTGGGGTCTCCCCCCTTTCTCTCTCTTCCCCGGGGTTTAAAAAGGGGGAGGGACGTCTCACCTTGGTGTCCCCTCTTCTGTCCTGGTTGTAAAGGGAAGGGGGTTTTTCCCCGGGGGGTTTTCTCTCTCTCTTCCTGGTTTTAAAAAAGGGGAAGGGGGTGTCTCCCAGGGGTTTTCCCTCTGTCCCGGTTGTAAAGGAGAGGGGGATTTTCTCACCCGGGGGGTTGTGTCTCTTCTCGTCCTGGTTGTAAAAAGGGGAGAGGGGGGTGTCTAAGGTTGGGTCTCTCTCGGGCCTGGGTTTTAAAGGAGGAGGGGGGCTGTCTCACCAGGTTGGTTCTCTCTCTTTTTCCCTGGGTTTAAAAGGGGAGGGGACTGTCTCACCAGGGTTTGGGGTCTCTCCCCTCTGTCCCCGGTAGTAAAAGGAAAAGGGGACTGTCTCACCGGTTGGGGTCCCTTCCCCTCTGTCCTGTTGTAAAAAAGAGAGGGACTGCCCCAGGTTTGGGGCCTTTGTCCTGGTTTTAAAAGGAGAAGGGGTGCCACCCGGTTGGGTCCTTTTCTGTCCTGGTTGTAAAAAGGAGAAGGGGGGGCTTTAAGGTTGGTGCTCTCTCCTTTTGGTTTTTTAAAAAAGGGGGAGGGGGTTCTGGTTTTCTCTCTGTCGTTGGGAAAAGAGGAGGGGACGTTGGGGGTTTTCTTCTTCCTGTCTGGTTTTAAAGGAAAGGGGGTGTCCCTTTTCTTTCCTTGTTGGTTTTAAAGGGGGAAGGGTTTTTTCCCCCTTGGGGTCCTTTTGGGTTTTTAAAAAAGGGGTGTCCCCCCTTTTGGGTTTTTTGGCCGGTTTTAAAAAAAAGGGGGGGGGGTTTTCCCCCGGGGGGGGGGCCTTTTCCTCCTTTTTCCCGGTTTTGGGGGGGCTTCTCCCCCGGGTTTAGGGGTGGGCCCACCCGGTTGTTTTGGTTTTTTGGTTTCCCCTTCCCCCGCCCCCGTCCCCCAGGGTTTTCCCCCCCCCCTTTTCCCCCTGTGTCCCAGCTCCTCCCGTGGAGGGTTCCTGGGTTTCCCCCCGGCCGATGTCCCTTTGTCCAAAGAAGGGGGCCTGACGGGTCGGCCACTTCCTGACTCCATTTTCTGGGGACCCCCGAACCGTCACCCCAAAATGGAGGGGGGGAGAGAGAGAAAAGAGAGGGGAGGAGGGAGGGAGTAAAATGGAATTCCTAATGACGGTACCAGTCCCTTCTGGACTCTGCTGTTGTACTGACTCCCTTGATCAAAAGGGCTAATTTGTATGATCTATAGATAAAAAGAAGATAATGTTGACTATCCAAAAGACAAAGAAGACCCCTGTTGTACTATTTTTGATCAATAGATAATGGTTTGACTCCAATCAAAGAAACTAATGGGTTTAATGACTCCAAAAAAGAATAATGTTGTCTGATCCAAAAGAAGATAAGTTTTTACGGGCTCCATAGAAAAAAATGTTTTTTACTGACTCCAAAAGAAGACTAATGTTTATACCCATAGAAGACTAATTTTGTACGACTCCAAAAAAGACTAATGTTGTCGATCCCTAGATCAAAAGAAGACTAATGTTTTCTGCTCCAAAAGATCAATAAAGATAATGTTTTGCTCAATAGAAATAAAGGGTAATGTTTTAAAATCCATAGAAGACTAATGTTTCTGACTCCTATAATCAATAAAAACTATGTTGTCTGACTCCTAAGATCAAAAGAAGACTAAAGTGTACTTTCTCCATGAAAACTAATGTTTTGATCCTATAGAAGACTAATGTTTACTACCCCAAAGAAGACTAATGTTACGACCTATAGAAAAACTAATGTTTTACTGACTCCAATAGAAACTAATGTTTTTTCTGACTCCAATAGATCAATAGAAGACTAATGTTGTACTGACTCCAATAGAAGACTAATGTTGTACTGACTCCAATAGATCAATAGAAGACTAATGTTGTACTGACTCCAATAGATCAATAGAAGACTAATGTTGTACTGACTCCAATAGATCAATAGAAGACTAATGTTGTACTGACTCCAATAGATCAATAGAAGACTAATGTTGTACTGACTCCAATAGATCAATAGAAGACTAATGTTGTACTGACTCCAATAGATCAATAGAAGACTAATGTTGTACTGACTCCAATAGATCAATAGAAGACTAATGTTGTACTGACTCCAATAGATCAATAGAAGACTAATGTTGTACTGACTCCTATAGATCAATAGAAGACTAATGTTGTACTGACTCCAATAGATCAATAGAAGACTAATGTTGTACTGACTCCAATAGATCAATAGAAGACTAATGTTGTACTGACTCCAATAGATCAATAGGAAGACCAACTGGGTTTCTAGCCTCGTCACAGATCTGTAGAGCGCTAGAAAAACGCTGATTTGATTTCTTTGCCCGATTCAGTTTTCACCATTTTTTTTTTTTTTTTTCAGGTTTCCGTTTCCCCTTTAATTGAAGTGAGCACCTAGCAAGAGGCTGTTGTTTAGCTGTGGTTATGGGTGTAGTTCCCCTTTAATTGAAGTGAGCGCCTAGCAAGAGGCTGTTGTTTAGCTGTGTTTATGGGTGCAGTTCCCCTTTAATTGAAGTGAGCACCTAGCAAGAGGCTGTTGTTTAGCTGTGTTTATGGGTGTAGTTCCCCTTTAATGAAGTGAGCACCTAGCAAGAGGCTGTTGTTTAGCTGTGTTTATGGGTGTAGTTACCCCTTTAATTGAAGTGAGCGCCTAGCAAGAGGCTGTTGTTTAGCTGTGGTTATGGGTGTAGTTACCCTTTAATTGAAGTGAGCGCCTAGCAAGAGGCTGTTGTTTAGCTGTGGTTATGGGTGTAGTTCCCCTTTAATTGAAGTGAGCACCTAGCAAGAGGCTGTTGTTTAGCTGTGTTTATGGGTGTAGTTCCCCTTTAATTGAAGTGAGCACCTAGCAAGAGGCTGTTGTTTAGCTGTGTTTATGGGTGTAGTTCCCCTTTAATTGAAGTGAGCACCTAGCAAGAGGCTGTTGTTTAGCTGTGTTTATGGGTGTAGTTCCCCTTTAATTGAAGTGAGCACCTAGCAAGAGGCTGTTGTTTAGCTGTGTTTATGGGTGTAGTTCCCCTTTAATTGAAGTGAGCACCTAGCAAGAGGCTGTTGTTTAGCTGTGTTTATGTAGCACCTAGCAAGAGGCTGTTGTTTAGCTGTGTTTATGGGTGTAGTTCCCCTTTAATTGAAGTGAGCACCTAGCAAGAGGCTGTTGTTTAGCTGTGTTTATGGGTGTAGTTCCCCTTTAATTGAAGTGAGCACCTAGCGAGAGGCTGTTGGTTAGCTGTGTTTATGGGTGTAGTTCCCCTTTAATTGAAGTGAGCACCTAGCAAGAGGCTGTTGTTTAGCTGTGTTTATGGGTGTAGTTCCCCTTTAATTGAAGTGAGCACCTAGCAAGAGGCTGTTGTTTAGCTGTGTTTATGGGTGTAGTTCCCCTTTAATTGAAGTGAGCACCTAGCAAGAGGCTGTTGTTTAGCTGTGTTTATGTAGCACCTAGCAAGAGGCTGTTGTTTAGCTGTGTTTATGGGTGTAGTTCCCCTTTAATTGAAGTGAGCACCTAGCAAGAGGCTGTTGTTTAGCTGTGTTTATGGGTGTAGTTCCCCTTTAATTGAAGTGAGCACCTAGCAAGAGGCTGTTGTTTAGCTGTGTTTATGGGTGTAGTTCCCCTTTAATTGAAGTGAGCACCTAGCAAGAGGCTGTTGTTTAGCTGTGTTTATGGGTGTAGTTCCCCTTTAATTGAAGTGAGCACCTAGCAAGAGGCTGTTGTTTAGCTGTGTTTATGGGTGTAGTTCCCCTTTAATTGAAGTGAGCACCTAGCAAGAGGCTGTTGTTTAGCTGTGTTTATGGGTGTAGTTCCCCTTTAATTGAAGTGAGCACCTAGCAAGAGGCTGTTGGTTAGCTGTGTTTATGTAGCGCCTAGCAAGAGGCTGTTGTTTAGCTGTGTTTATGTAGCGCCTAGCAAGAGGCTGTTGTTTAGCTGTGTGTTTTTGTAGCGCCTAGCAAGAGGCTGTTGTTTAGCTGTGTTTATGTAGCGCCTAGCAAGAGGCTGTTGTTTAGCTGTGTGTTTATGTAGCGCCTAGCAAGAGGCTGTTGTTTAGCTGTGTGTTTATGTAGCACCTAGCAAGAGGCTGTTGTTTAGCTGTGTTTATGTAGCGCCTAAGCAAGAGGCTGTTGTTTAGCTGTGTGTTTATGTAGCGCCTAGCAAGAGGCTGTTGTTTAGCTGTGTTTATGTAGCGCCTAGCAAGAGGCTGTTGTTTAGCTGTGTTTATGTAGCGCCTAGCAAGAGGCTGTTGTTTAGCTGTGTTTATGTAGCGCCTAGCAAGAGGCTGTTGGTTAGCTGTGTGTTTATGTAGCGCCTAGCAAGAGGCTGTTGTTTAGCTGTGTTTATGTAGCGCCTAGCAAGAGGCTGTTGTTTAGCTGTGTTTATGTAGCGCCTAGCAAGAGGCTGTTGTTTAGCTGTGTTTATGTAGCGCCTAGCAAGAGGCTGTTGTTTAGCTGTGTGTTTATGTAGCGCCTAGCAAGAGGCTGTTGTTTAGCTGTGTTTATGTAGCGCCTAGCAAGAAGCTGTTGTTTAGCTGTGTGTTTATGTAGCGCCTAGCAAGAGGCTGTTGTTTAGCTGTGTGTTTATGTAGCGCCTAGCAAGAGGCTGTTGTTTAGCTGTGTTTATGTAGCGCCTAGCAAGAGGCTGTTGTTTAGCTGTGTTTATGTAGCGCCTAGCAAGAGGCTGTTGTTTAGCTGTGTTTATGTAGCGCCTAGCAAGAGGCTGTTGTTTAGCTGTGTGTTTATGTAGCACCTAGCAAGAGGCTGTTGTTTAGCTGTGTTTATGTAGCGCCTAGCAAGAGGCTGTTGTTTAGCTGTGTGTTTATGTAGCGCCTAGCAAGAGGCTGTTGTTTAGCTGTGTTTATGTAGCGCCAAGCAAGAGGCTGTTGTTTAGCTGTGTTTATGTAGCGCCTAGCAAGAGGCTGTTGTTTAGCTGTGTGTTTATGTAGCGCCTAGCAAGAGGCTGTTGTTTAGCTGTGTGTTTATGTAGCGCCTAGCAAGAGGCTGTTGTTTAGCTGTGTGTTTATGTAGCGCCTAGCAAGAGGCTGTTGTTTAGCTGTGTGTTTTTTGTAGCGCACTTGGGACGGTAGAGCAAAACAAATACCCAGTGGATTGATGAAAACTAATCGTGATATCGTTCTGCCATGGTAAACATGGGCTACTTTGTAGTTCACATTTTAATTGAGAGTTTTTTTGGGGCTAAAGCCTTTCCATCTCTGCCAGAAGACTGTCTTCATCAGCGTCATCGCTAACGGTTACACAGAGTGCTAGATGCGTCGCTAACGGTTACACAGAGTGCTAGATGCGTCGCTAACGGTTACACAGAGTGCTAGATGCGTCGCTAACGGTTACACAGAGTGCTAGATGCGTCGCTAACGGTTACACAGAGTGCTAGATGCGTCGCTAACGGTTACACAGAGTGCTAGATGCGCGCGCCACACAGAAAGACGGGGAATTCTCGTTGCCTCTTCAGAAAGTTGCAGAAAATACGAAATCACCTGATGCATTCTGTTCATGTCTTACAATAACGGTAGGAAAATTCACTAATTTTCAATACATTTAGTTGATTCCCTACTAAGTTCAATACATTTAGTTGATTCCCTACTAAGTTCAATACATTTAGTTGATTCCCTACTAAGTTCAATACATTTAGTTGATTCCCTACTAAGTTCAATACATTTAGTTGATTCCCTACTAAGTTCAATACATTTAGTTGATTCCCTACTAAGTTCAATACGTTTGAATATTGTTGAATTCAGTTTTAGTGTCTGGATTCCATGATTCTGTCTGCGTTCTCTGCGATGCAGATTTTATAGAGGCCTGTATCTGTGCGATGTTATAGAGGCCTGTATCTGTGTGATTGTATAGAGGCCTGTATCTGTGTGATTTTATAGAGGCCTGTGTCTGTGTGATGGTATAGAGGCCTGTATCTGTGTGATTGTATAGAGGCCTGTATCTGTGTGATTTTATAGAGGCCTGTGTCTGTGTGATGTTATAGAGGCCTGTATCTGTGTGATGTTATAGAGGCCTGTATCTGTGTGATGTTATAGAGGCCTGTATCTGTGTGTGATTTTATAGAGGCCTGTATCTGTGTGTGATTTTATAGAGGCCTGTATCTGTGTGTGATTTTATAGAGGCCAGTATCTGTGTGTGATTTTATAGAGGCCTGTATCTGTGTGTGATTTTATAGAGGCCTGTGTCTGTGTGATTTTATAGAGGCCTGTATCTGTGTGATTGTATAGAGGCCTGTATCTGTGTGTGCCGTCTTGCCAACGATGAAAATGAATGAATGAACAAATGGACGAGGTGCGCCTCTGGTCCTGGTCAAAAGTAGTGCACTATGTAGGGAATAGGGTTCCATAGAGCTCTGGTCTAAAGTAGTGCACTATATAGGGAATAGGGTTCCATAGAGCTCTGGTCTAAAGTAGTGCACTATATAGGGAATAGGGTTCCATAGAGCTCTGGTCTAAAGTAGTGCACTATGTAGGGAATAGGGTGTCATAGAGCTCTGGTCTAAAGTAGTGCACTATATAGGGAATAGGGTGCCATTCTCTGGTCTAAAGTAGTGCACTATGTAGGGAATAGGGTGCCATTCTCTGGTCTAAAGTAGTGCACTATATAGGGAATAGGGTGTCATAGAGCTCTGGTCTAAAGTAGTGCACTATGTAGGGAATAGGGTGCCATTCTCTGGTCTAAAGTAGTGCACTATGTAGGGAATAGGGTTCCATAGAGCTCTGGTCTAAAGTAGTGCACTATGTAGGGAATAGGGGTGTCATAGGGCTCTGGTCTAAAGTAGTGCACTATATAGGGAATAGGGTGCCATTCTCTGGTCAAAAGTAGTGCACTATGTAGGGAATAGGGTGTCATAGGGCTCTGGTCTAAAGTAGTGCACTATGTAGGGAATAGGGTGCCATTCTCTGGTCAAAAGTAGTGCACTATGTAGGGAATAGGGTGTCATAGGGCTCTGGTCTAAAGTAGTGCACTATGTAGGGAATAGGGTGCCATTCTCTGGTCTAAAGTAGTGCACTATATAGGGAATAGGGTGCCATTCTCTGGTCTAAAGTAGTGCACTATATAGGGAATAGGGTGGCATTTTGTTCAGCAGTTCTGTGTATGGTAGTAGAGAACTGCCCTGTTCAGAGACCCCTGCTCTGGTCACCAGGAGACCCCGTAGCAACACGCTTATGTAAGCTTTGTTTACTTACACTGACTGACTGTGTGTGTGTGTGTTTGAGTGTGTGTGTGTGTGTGTGTGTCTGTGTGTGTGTTTGAGTGTCTGTGTGTGTGTGTGTGTGTGTGTCTGTGTGTGACTCCAGGTCTCTGCCCCCCCCCCCCCCTCCCCCACCCTCAGTAGAAATAGAGCTGATCGCTGCTCCAATGTCCCATGTGACTGACCTATCACACACACACTAACGCTGTCCGTGGAGGGCTTCTGTTATCAGTAGCTGACTGGGTTAAACGCTGTCCGCGGAGGGCTTCTGTTATCAGTAGCTGACTGCTTAAACGCTGTCTGTGGAGGGCTTCTGTTATCAGTAGCTGGGCTGGTTAAACGCTGTCCGAGGAGGGCTTCTGTTATCAGTAGCTGACAGGTTAAACGCTGTCCGAGGAGGGCTTCTGTTATCAGTAGCTGGGCTGGTTAAACGCTGTCCGAGGAGGGCTTCTGTTATCAGTAGCTGGGCTGGTTAAACGCTGTCCGCGGAGGGCTTCTGTTATCAGTAGCTGGGCTGGTTAAACGCTGTCCGAGGAGGGCTTCTGTTATCAGTAGCTGACTGGTTAAACGCTGTCCGAGGAGGGCTTCTGTTATCAGTAGCTGGGCTGGTTAAACGCTGTCCGAGGAGGGCTTCTGTTATCAGTAGCTGACTGGTTAAACGCTGTCCGTGGAGGGCTTCTGTTATCAGTAGCTGACTGGTTAAACGCTGTCCGCGGAGGGCTTCTGTTATCAGTAGCTGACTGGTTAAACGCTGTCCGCGGAGGGCTTCTGTTATCAGTAGCTGGGCTGGTTAAACGCTGTCCGTGGAGGGCTTCTGTTATCAGTAGCTGACTGGTTAAACGCTGTCCGCGGAGGGCTTCTGTTATCAGTAGCTGACTGGTTAAACGCTGTCCGCGGAGGGCTTCTGTTATCAGTAGCTGACTGGTTAAACGCTGTCCGCGGAGGGCTTCTCTCCCCCCTTTCTCTCAGTCTCCCCACTTTACATTTACATTTTCTTATCCAGAGCGACTTACAACTTTCTCTCAGTCTCTCCCCACTTTCTCTCAGTCTCTCCCCCTTTCCTCTCAGTCTCTCCCCTTTCTCTGTCTCCCCCCTTCCTCTCAGTCTCCCCCTTTCCTCTCAGTCTCCCCCTTTCCTCTCAGTCTCCCCCCTTTCCTCTCAGTCTCCCCCCTTTCTCTCAGTCTCCCCCTTTCCTCTCAGTCTCTCCCCCTTTCCTCTCAGTCTCTCCCCCTTTCCCTCTCAGTCTCCCCTTTCCCCTCAGTTCCCCCTTCCTCTCAGTCTCCTCCTCTCTCCTCCTCATCAGTCCCCCATTTCCTCTCAGTCTCTCCCCCTTTCTCCCAGTCTCTCCCCTTTTTCTCAGTCTCTCCCCTTTCTGTCTGCCCTTTCTCAGTCGCCCCCCTTTCTCTCAGTCTCCCCCCTTTCCTTCAGTCTCTCCCCCTTTCCTCTCGTCTCCCCTCTTCTCTCAGTCCCCCCTTCTTCAGTCTCCCCCCTTTCTCTGTCTCCCAGTCTCCCCCCTTCCTCTCAGTCTCCCCCCTTCCTCTCAGTTCCCTCTCCCACCCTTCCTCTCAGTCTCCCCTCATCCTCAGTCTCCCCTTTCTCTCAGTCTCCCCCTTCGTCCAGTCTCTCCACCCTTTCTTCATCTCCCCACTTCTCTCAGTCTCCCCCATTTCTCTCGTCTCCCCCCTTTCTCTCAGTCTCTCCACCCTTTCCTCAGTCTCCCCACTTCTTCAGTCTCTCCCACCTTTCTCTCAGTCTTCCCCCTTTCTCTCAGTCTCTCCCCCTTTCCCTCAGTCTCCCCCACTTTCTCTCAGTCTCCCCCCTTCCTCTCAATCCTCCCCCACTTTCCTTCAGTCTCCCCTTTCTCTCAGTCTCCCCGTTCCTCTCAGTTTCCCCCCTTTCCATTCACTTCCCCTCCCCCACTTTCTCTCAGTCTACCCCCTTTCATCTCAGCTACCCCTTTCCTCTCAGTCTCCCCTTTCCTCTCATCTCCCACTTTCCTCTCAGTCTCACCCCTTTCCTCTCAGTCTCCCCCCGTCCTCGGTCTACCCTCCTTTTCTCAGTCTCCCTCCTTTTCCTAAGTCTCCCCTTTCCTCTCAGTCTCCCCCTTTTCCTCTCCAGTCTCCCCCCTTTCTCTGCAGTCTCCCCATCCTCTGGAACTCTGTATTTCAGGCCAAACAAAGGTCTGTGTTTCTGTCTGCGCTCTCAGCTCAGAGGGAGAAAATCAATGCTTAGAACATTCCAGAAGGATGACGCCACCATAAAAGCCCTGAAACACACACTAAGGGGAGGTGTAGGACACAATGTGGGTGTGTGTGTGTGTGTGGTGTGTGGTGTGTGTGTGGTGTTTGGGTGTGGTGTGTGTGTGTGTGTGTGTGTGGTGTGCGCGTGTGGGTGTGTGTGTGTGGTGGTGTGTGTGTGTGGTGTGTGTGTGTGTGGTGTGTGCGTGTGGTGTGTGTGTGTACGGTGTGTGTGTGTGGTGTGTGTGTGGTGTACGGTGTGTGTGTGTGGTGTGTGTGTGTACGGTGTGTGTGTGTGTGTGTGTGTGGTCCATACAGTGTGAGTGTACAGTCCCCTCCACTCACCAGGGCTGCAGGTCTTGTCCTTGTTGGCCACGCTGTTCTGGGGTGGGGGGGGCTGCTGCTGGGGCTGGGGGGGTGTGGTCATGGCCATGGCGTCCTGCTCTGATTGGCTGGTCTTGTTCCACATATTAACCCCGCTGCAGTTGTATTTGCTCGGGTCTCCCCACGCGGCGGTCCCGTCATCGATCTCCATCCTCCTCCTCACCGACTCCGGACTGGGCTCCTCCCATCCCGTAGACTCTTCCTCCTGATGGGACGGTCCAGCGGGGACCGCCGCCCCCCCCATCCAGCCGCTGGGTTTGGAACCCCCGGGGCCTGGGGGAGGTCCTCTAGGGTCCGGGCCGGGGTTGGGGTTAGAGTCTGGGCCTTTACCCCACTCGGAGGGGCAGGGTTTAGGCGCCGGGTCACCCCAGCTCTGAGAGGGGTGGCTGGGCTTCATGGCTGGCTCTCCCCAGCCCCCCTGGGTCGGGTGGTTCTGGGGCTGGGGCTTGGGGGGCTCTCCCCAGCCAGAGTGAGGTTGTTGGGGTTGTTGCCGTGGGTCTGATCGGGCGTGCTGGACCCTCCGCTGCCGCCCCAGGTGCTGCTGCTGCTGCTGGGGTGTGTGTTGGTGTTGGCCGGACGGCCGGGCTCGCCCCATCCTCCAGACCCTGAGCGGTCGCTGTCGTTGTCCCATCCCCCAGACCCGCTAGTCTTCTGGGGCTGGCCCCAGTAGCTGCCCCCCTCCTCCTCTGGAGCGGTCTCCCCCCACCACCACCACCACTAGGGGCGCCCCAGCCCTGCTTTTGGGGTTTAGGAGCGTTGGTCCAGGTGTTGGAGCGGTCCTCCTTCTGGCTGTCCCCCCAGCTAGAGGAGGAGTTGCTGTTGTTCTTAAAGGAGCTTCCATCCTCCCATCTCCCCTCTCCTCCAGTGGTGTCTCTGTCTCCACACCCAGACAAGGCCTTCCGCTCCGCCCAGCCAGACCCTCCTGACTCTGGGCCTGCGTTGTTGCCCGGCCCGTCCCCCCATCCTCCAGAGCTGGAGGTCTGAGAGGGTGCTTTGTGGCCTGCCGAGCCCCAGCCGGGGCCTCCGTTACTGGGCTTCCTGTCGTCAGGTCTGGGGGCGGGAGAGGTGACGTCCCAGGCGGTGTTCTGGCGTACTGGGGTCTGGCCCCAGCCGGTGTTGCAGAGGACGCGAGGGTCCACGTCTGAGCTGGAGAGGACTGGCTGAGTTGACCCAGGGAGGGGGCCTCTTCGACGGGGGTCGTTCCTGTCCCCGTCGGAGTTAGGACCTCCAGAGCTCTCCCCACTCCCCTCGCTGCCTCCAGACCTCCCCCAGCACCCTCTCGGAGGTCCCTGCACTCCTCCTCTCGCTCCTCCTCCCATCCCGAGGGCGTCATCTTCGAGGCTCTTCCAGCCGTTGGCTCCTCCCCCTGGCTTCCGGCCGTCGCCGGAATGCCGAGAGTTGTTGCCGGGCAACGAGCTCCACTCCCCATTGGAGGGCTGCCTGTTGGAGGAGGAGCCGGACGAAGAAGAGGAGGAGGAGGAGGAAGAGGAGGCGGCGCCGCCGCCCCGCGGTCGGGGGATCCCGTCAGGACCCACTCCGTTCCCATTGCTCCCCACTCCGGCCCCCAAGGACAGGGTTGTGAGGAAGGGGGGATGCAGCTGGGCCAGAGTCCCACCTCCCTCCAGGGGCCTTGCTGTTATTATTACCATTGTAAGCAGCAGTAGTAGCAGCAGGGGAGGACTGGCCCCGTCCCTGGCCGTTCACAGTGTCTCCAGGGCCCGAGGCCCCCCAGGGCATGGAGAAGCCCCCTGCCAGGCCCTCGCTGCGGGGTTGCTGGGTGCCAGACAGGGGCCCGTTGGAGAGCTGATCTCCAGGGGCTGACCCCACTCCTCCTCCACCGGCTCCCCAGGAACGCAGCCCAGAGCCGGGCTCGCTCATCTGCACGGAGCCGCCTGTAGAGTTTGGTAAACTAGAGGTGTCGACGGCGTTAGTAGTGTTATTTGGTCCGTTGGTTGCTTCGGTGTTAAGGTGGCGAGCCTTGACAGTAGTACCGTTCAGGAGGTCGTGTCGCTGTTCAGCCAGAGACGGAGAGAGGCTGCCCGGCTGCATCCCTCCCCAGCCCAGAGAACCTCCCTGCAGGCCAATCTTACAGGCAGGGGGTCCCTGGGGGTCGGGCCAGGCACTGCGGTTAGCCTTTGGGTTCAAAGTGCTGGGGGTCACCTCCATTCCATTGGCCGACGCCCAGGGGCTCAGCTTGTTGGCGTGGCTACCGTCGGCGGCGGCGGCGGCGTCGTCGTCGTTGGGGCCGATGTTCATCGTGGAGCCGTTAGCCACGCCACCCCACGGGCCCTTCACCGCCCCGTTACACGTTATTACGTCATCGCCACCGTCGCTCCCGGGAGGGGCGCTGCCGTTAACCACCGTTAGCGGGGAGAAGCGGTTCCGCCCCTGCTGCCGGTTCCTGTTACCGTCTCCGTCTCCGTTAGCGCTGGCCGATGACACGGACGATGTCGCGGTGGCGGCCACCATCATCGTGGCGGCCAAGTTCTTCTCCGAGCCCGAGCTAGAGGCGGAGTCTGCGTCCATGCATTCTGAGGTGAGCTCGGGGTCGCTGCCGGAGCCGGAGCTGCTGCCGGCTGCAGAGTTCGAGCCTGAGGAGGACGAGGAGGAGGGCCAGGCGCTGGCGGGGGAGGGAGTGTCACTGCAGACCGAGTCTACCAGCACCTTGAAAATTAAATAAAAAAGTTAAAAGTTTTAATAATAAAAACAGTATTTATATCGCACTTTTTAAAAAGGACCCAAATTCGCTTTACAATTGTATAATATCTACATGGCAGTCTTAGACACTGAAATACATGGATATTGCGTTGATATTGCGTCTGAAAACTTCGGAAAACTTCGGATCTTTTTAAAATCACTGAGATATCTTTATCAGAACTTGAGTTATGGGCTTTTAAAGTTGACTTCAGCCAAAAAAAAGTATAAAGTGAGAAAACAGCATTCAAAGATTCCAGTAAGTTTTTTTTCTAATTCCACTGAGAGAAAAACACCAATCATCCCTTTACACTACTTACTACATTACTAACTAGCTAGTTCACTATTCAGTCTAAACCAGTCTGATTTCATTACTAACTAGCTAGTTCACTATTCAGTCTAAACCAGTCTGATTTCATTACTAACTAGCTAGTTCACTATTCAGTCTAAACCAGTCTGATTTCATTACTAACTAGCTAGTTCACTATTCAGTCTAAACCAGTCGATTTCATTACTAACTAGCTAGTTCACTATTCAGTCTAAACCAGTCCTGATTTCATTACTAACTAGCTAGTTCACTATTCAGTCTAAACCAGTCCTGATTTCATTACTAACTAGCTAGTTCACTATTCAGTCTAAACCAGTCTGATTTCATTACTAACTAGCTAGTTCACTATTCAGTCTAAACCAGTCTGATTTCATTACTAACTAGCTAGTTCACTATTCAGTCTAAACCAGTCTGATTTCATTACTAACTAGCTAGTTCACTATTCAGTCTAAACCGTTCTGATTTCATTACTAACTAGCTAGTTCAATATTCAGTCTAAACCAGTCTGATTTCATTACTAACTAGCTAGTTCACTATTCAGTCTAAACCAGTCTGATTTCATTACTAACTAGCTAGTTTCACTATGTCAGTCTAAACCAGTCTGATTTCATTACTAACTAGCTAGTTCACTATTCAGTCTAAACCAGTCTGATTTCATTACTAACTAGCTAGTTCACTATTCAGTCTAAACCAGTCTGATTTCATTACTAACTAGCTAGTTCACTATTCAGTCTAAACCAGCCTGATTTCATTACTAACTAGCTAGTTCACTATTCAGTCTAAACCAGTCTGATCGAGTCAGGGAAGTTTGAGCTAGCGTTTTCACATTGCGCATGCTAGCTAACCTTGGAAAATGTTCCTTAAGTAAATCATACTATTTAGTTTTTTTTTTTTTTAAGTATTCAAAAACAACCAAAATCTAAATTTCCACAAAAAAAACTGATTTTTGGCGCGACGTCCGACAGGTTTCCCCGTAGGCCACCTCCGCATATAACGTTCAAGTTCAAATACAAGTGAAAAAAACATGGCAGGATTTACATGTACATTTGGAGAAGGTCAGAGAGAACTCACCTTGCCCCAGTTACTGTTGCTGTCGCAGGGAGAACCAGAGCTCCAGGGGGAATTGTCATACTGCGAATCCAGGCCAGGGTGGTCCAGACCTGGGGAACAGAAAGGCGGCGGGGGGGGGGGGGAAGAGGTCGTTGGTGGAGGTTGGTTAGCTCTACAGAGAACACACACACACCAGGACAAATCTTCTTGCTTTCAACTAAATCATTGATTTTAACGTGTGGATTGGTGGAAGCTGTGGGATTGAACCCAGACATACACCCTGTTACTTAGTGAAAAGAAGGAAAGGTGCATTGTGTGTAAGTCTCCCAGAGGTTTCTCTGATCTCAGTAACACTATTGCTCTCAACGTGCCACTCTAACCTAAAGCCCCAGTGTTGTCTGTGATAACGATGCAGACATTCACAGTGTGTGTCGGTCTAGTCAGCTGCCACCATTTTGTTTCAGCAGTGTGTGTGTCGGTCTAGTCAGCTGCCACCATTTTGTTTCAGCAGTGTGTGTGTCGGTCTAGTCAGCTGCCACCATTTTGTTTCGGCAGTGTGTGTGTCGGTCTAGTCAGCTGCCACCATTTTGTTTCGGCAGTGGTTGTGTGTCGGCTAGTCAGCTGGCACCATTTTGGTTTCAGCAGCATGATGTTACAAAGCCTACCACAGGAATCAGACATTGAGGGAGGGGAGGGTGGGGGGGGGGGGGGGGGAGGAGAGGGGAGTGGGGGGGGGAGACAGGAGGGGGGAGGGAGACGGGAGACGGGGGGGGGGGCGAGGGAGGGAGGGGAGGGGGGAGGGAGGGGGGGGGAGGGAGGGAGGAGGGAGGGAGGGGGGGGAGGGACGGGGGGGGGAGAGGGGAGAGAGGGGGGGGAGGGAGGGAGGGAGCAGTGGGAGAGGGAGGGGGGAGGGGAGAGGGGGGGGAGGGGGGAGGAGGGGGGGAGGGAGACGGGGGAGAGGGAGGAGGGAGGGAGGGAGGGAGGGGGGGGGAGGGGGGAGAGTGGAGGGAGGGGAGCGGAGAGGGAGGGGGGGAGGGGGTGAGGGGAGGAGGGGAGGGGGGAGACGGGGAGGAGACGGGGGGGAGGGGGAGGAGAAGGGGGGGACGGGGAGAGGGGGGAGCAGGAGGAGCAGTGGAGACGGAGGAGGGAGGGAGACGGGGGGAGACAGGGGAGGGAAAAGGAAGGACATTGGAGAGGGGGGGCTGTTGGTTCTTCTACTGCTAGCAGCTCTTCTCAGTACTAAAGGAAGCCTTTCATGTCTCCTATATCCCTCCAACCCCCTCTATTCTCATCTCTATCCGTTCTTCTCAGAATTAGCCACCCTGGTTCTCTGGAAAGCCGCTTTCATTCTCGTCAGTCACACACACACACACGATGGCTGCCAAGTCAGAATGCTCCCTCTCCCTCCTCTCTCCCTCCCTCCCTCCATCCTCTCTAGCTGTCTGTGCCTTTGTACCCTAACCCCTACCTTTGTACCCTAACCCCTACCTTTGTACCCTAACCCCTACCTTTGTACCCTAACCCCTACCTTTGTAGGAGCCATGCTGTGACAAAAGTAGTTTAAGGTGGACAGCAGGCAAGGTGAGACTATCTAAAGGTGGACAGCAGGCAAGGTGAGACTATCTAAAGGTGGACAGCAGGCAAGGTGAGACTATCTAAAGGTGGACAGCAGGCAAGGTGAGACTATCTAAAGGTGGACAGCAGCAAGGTGAGACTATCTAAAGGTGGACAGCAGGCAAGGTGAGACTATCTAAAGGTGGACAGCAGGCAAGGTGAGACTATCTAAAAGTGGACAGCAGGCAAGGTGAGACTATCTAAAAGTGGACAGCAGGCAAGGTGAGACTATCTAAAGGTGGACAGCAGGCAAGGTGAGACTATCTAAAGGTGGACAGCAGGCAAGGTGAGACTATCTAAAGGTGGACAGCAGGCAAGGTGAGACTATCTAAAGGTGGACAGCAGGCAAGGTGAGACTATCTAAAGTGGACAGCAGGCAAGGTGGGACTATCTTAAAAGTGGACAGCAGGCAATGGTGAGACTATCTAAAGGTGGACAGCAGGCAAGGTGAGACTATCTAAAGGTGGACAGCAGGCAAGGTGAGACTATCTAAAGGTGGACAGCAGGCAAGGTGAGACTATCTAAAGGTGGACAGCAGGCAAGATCAGACAAGGACCGACACACTGAGTCGACATAACAGCATTAACGTTAACGTGAGCTCCTGGGGGGACTTCAGGAATGCACTTGTTGTCTGACTGTAGTAGTGGAGGGAGAGGTTCAGAGGCAGAGACAACAGGAGGCAAGGTCAAAGGTTGTCACCTGTTTGGTTAGGGGAGTGGTTGACCGAGTCCCGAATTGGAGCCATGCCTAGGATACAAGACAGAAGAGAGGCAAGAACATGAGAGAGAGGAGGATAAAGAGAGAGAGAGAGGATAGATAGAGAGAACATGGGAGAGCGAGAGAGAGTAGGAGAGAGAAAGATACATTGATAGATAGATAGACAGATAGAGATAGAGAGAGAGAGAGAACATGAGAGAGAGACAGAGAGAGAGAGAGAACATGAGAGAGAGACAGAGAGAGAGAGAACAAGAGAGAGAACATGAGAGAGACAGAGAGAGAGAGAACATGAGAGAGAACATGAGAGAGAGAGAGAGAGAACATGAGAGACAGAGAGAGTAAAAACCCATAATAGAATGTTAAACAGCAGCAGAAGAAATAAAGCAGGTTTAAAAGAAGAGACGAGCAACATGACCACTCAGTTGGTCCTAGTTTAGATACTGTCTAGGTACACTACCACCTGCTCCTAGTTTAGATACTGTCTAGGTACACTACCACCTGCTCCTAGTTTAGATACTGTCTAGGTACACTACAAACGTATTAACACCACCACCACCCCTACAGACACCACCACTACTGTCTAGTTCATTATTACCACCACCACCACCCCTACAGACACTACCACCACTACTGTCTAGTTCATATTACCACCACCACCACCCCTACAGACCACTACCACCACTAATGTCTAGTTCATTATTACCACCACCACCACCCCCTACAGACACTACCACCACTACTGTCTAGTTCATTATTACCACCACCCCCCCTACAGAACTACCACACTACTGTCTAGTTCATTATTAACACCACCCCTACAGACACTACCACCACTACTGTCTAGTTCATTATTACCACCACCACCCCTACAGACACTACCACCACTACTGTCTAGTTCATTATTACCACCACCACCCCTACAGACACTACCACCACTACTGTCTAGTTCATTATTACCACCACCACCCCTACAGACACTACCACCACTACTGCCTAGTTCATTATTACCACCACCACCACCCCTACAGACACTACCACCACTACTGTCTAGTTCATTATTACCACCACCACCCCTACAGACACTACCACCACTAATGTCTAGTTCATTATTACCACCACCACACCACCCCTACAGACACTACCACCACTACTGTCTAGTTCATTATTACCACCACCACCCCCCCTACAGACACTACCACCACTACTGTCTAGTTCATTATTACCACCACCACCACCCCTACAGACACTACCACCACTACTGTCTAGTTCATTATTACCACCACCACCCCTACAGACACTACCACCACTACTGTCTAGTTCATTATTACCACCACCACCACCCCCTACAGACACTACCACCACTACTGTCTAGTTCATTATTACCACCACCCCACCCCTACAGACACTACCACCACTACTGTCTAGTTCATTATTACCACCACCCCTACAGACACTACCACCACTACTGTCTAGTTCATTATTACCACCACCACCACCCCTACAGACACTACCACCACTATGTCTAGTTCATATTACACCACCACCACCCCTACAGACACTACCACCACTACTGTCTAGTTCATTATTACCACCACCACCCCCTACAGACACTACCACCACTACTGTCTAGTTCATTATACCACCACCACCACCCCTACAGACACTACCACCACTACTGTCTAGTTCATTATTACCACCACCACCACCACCCCTACAGACACTACCACCACTACTGTCTAGTTCATTATTACCACCACCACCACCCTACAGACACTACCACCACTATGTCTAGTTCATTATTACCACCACCACCCCTACAGACACTACCACCACTACTGTCTAGTTCATTATTACACCACCCACCCCTACAGACACTACCACCACTACTGTCTAGTTCATTATTACCACCACCACCACACCCCTACAGACACTACCACCACTACTGTCTAGTTCATTATTACCCACCACCCACAGACACTACCACACTACTGTCTAGTTCATTATTACCCACCACCCACCACCCCTACAGACACTACCACCACTACTGTCTAGTTCATATTACCACCACCACCACCACCCCTACAGACACTACCACCACTACTGTCTAGTTCATTATTACCCACCACCACCCCCCTACAGACCACTACCACCACTACTGTCTAGTTCATTATTACCACCACCCCCCCTACAGACACTACCACCACTACTGTCTAGTTCATTATTACCACCACCACCCCCCTACAGACACTACCACCACTACTGTCTAGTTCATTATTACCACCACCACCACCCCTACAGACACTACCCACCACTACTGTCTAGTTCATTATTACCACCACCCCACCACCCCTACAGACACTACCACCACTACTGTCTAGTTCATTCATACCACCCACCCCCTACAGACACTACCACCACTACTGTCTAGTTCATTATTACCCACCACCCCCCTACAGACACTACCACCACTACTGTCTAGTTCATTATTACCACCACCCCACCCCCTACAGACACTACCACCATACTGTCTAGTTCATTATTACCACCACCCACCCCTACCAGACACTACCACCACTACTGTCTAGTTCATTATTACCACCACCACCACCCCTACAGACACTACCACCACTACTGTCTAGTTCATTATTACCACCCACCCCCACCCCTACAGACACTACCACCACTACTGTCTAGTTCATTATTACCACCACCACCCCCCTACAGACACTACCACCACTACTGTCTAGTTCATTATTACCACCACCCACCACCCCTACAGACACTACCACCACTACTGTCTAGTTCATTATTACCACCACCACCACCCCCTACAGACACTACCACCACTACTGTCTAGTTCATTATTACCACCACCACCCACCCCTACAGACACTACCACCACTACTGTCTAGTTCTTATTACCACCACCACCACCCCCTACAGGACATACCACCACTACTGTCTAGTTCATTATTACCACCACCACCCCCCTACAGACACTACCACCACTACTGTCTAGTTCATTATTACCACCACCACCACCCCTACAGACACTACCACCACTACTGTCTAGTTCATTATTACCACCACCACCACCCCTACAGACACTACCACCACTACTGTCTAGTTCATTATTACCACCAACCACACCCTACAGACACTACCACCACTACTGTCTAGTTCATTTATTACCACCACCACCCCTACAGACACTACCACCACTACTGTCTAGTTCATTATTACCACCACCCCCCCCCCTACAGACACTACCACCACTACTGTCTAGTTCATTATTACCACCACCACCACCCCCTACAGACACTACCACCACTACTGTCTAGTTCATTATTACCACCACCACCCCCCTACAGACACTACAACCACTACTGTCTAGTGTCATTATTACCACCACCACCACCCCTACAGACACTACACCACTACTGTCTAGTTCATTATTACCACCCACCACCACCCCTACAGACACTACCACCACTACTGTCTAGTCATTATTACCACCCACCACACCCCTACAGACACTACCACCACTACTGTCTAGTTCATTATTACCACCACCACCCCTACAGACACTACCACCACTACTGTCTAGTTCATTATTACCACCACCACCACCCCTACAGACACTACCACCACTACTGTCTAGTTCATTATTACCACCACCACCACCCCTACAGGACATACCACCACTACTGTTCTAGTTCATTATTACCACCACCTCCCCTACAGACACTACCACCACTACTGTCTAGTTCATTATTACCACCACCTCCCCTACAGACACTACCACCACTACTGTCTAGTTCATTATTACCACCACCACCACCCCTACAGACACTACCACCACTACTGTCTAGTTCATTTATTACCACCACCACCCTACAGACACTACCACCACTACTGTCTAGTTCATTATTACCACCACCATCCCCCTACAGACACTACCACCACTACTGTCTAGTTCATTATTACCCCACCCCTTACAGACACTACACCACTACTGTCTAGTTCATTATTACCACCACCACCCCTACAGACACTACCACCACTACTGTCTAGTTCATTATTACCACCACCACACCCCTACAGGACACTACCACCACTATGTCTAGTTCATTATTACCACCACACCACCCTACAGACACTACCACCACTAATGTCTAGTTCATTATTACCACCACACCATAAGACACTACCACCACTACGGTCTAGTTCATTTTAACCACCACACCCTACAGACACTACCACACTACTGTCTAGTTCATTATACCACCACCACCCTACAGACACTACAGCTTTGTTCTAACTACCTGAGGCCCATAGATGACACATTAGTTCATGTATTACCACTGGAACTACACGACCAGTGTTGCAGGTTAACCTACTGAGCCATGAGGACCTAGTGTTGGCAGTGTTAACCTACTGAGCCACTAGAGGACCTTAGTTGTGGCAGTGTTAACCTACTGAGACCTAAGAGGACCTTAGTGTTGGCAGTGTTAACCTACGAGCCATAGAGGACCTTAGTGTTGGCAGTGTTAACCTACTGAGCCATAGAGGACCTTAGTGTTGGCAGTGTTAACCTACTGAGACCATAGAGGACCTTAGTGTTGGCAGTGTTAACCTACTGAGACATAGAGGACCTTAGTGTGGCAGTGTTAACCTACTGAGCACATAGAGGACCTTAGTGTTGGCAGTGTTATTAACCTACTGAGCCATAGAGGACCTTAGTGTTGGCAGTCTGTAACCTCTGAGCCATAGAGGACCTAGTGTTGGCAGTGTTAACCTACTGAGACCATAGAGGACCTTAGTGTTGGCAGTGTTAACCTACTGAGACAAGAGGACCTTAGTGTTGGCAGTGTTAACCTACTGAGCATAGAGGACCTTAGTGTGGCAGTGTTAACCTACTGAGCCATAGAGGACCTTAGTGGTTCGTGTTAACAGACATAAGGCTTAGGAGAACCTACTGAGCCATAGAGGACCTTAGTGTTGGCAGTGTTAACCTACTGAGACATAGAGGACCTTAGTGTTGGCAGTGTTAACCTACTGAGCCATAGAGGACCTTAGTGTTGGCAGTGTAACCTACTGAGCCATAGAGGACCTTAGTGTTGGCAGTGTTAACCTTACTGAGACATAGAGGACCTTAGTGTGGCAGTGTTAACCTACTGAGACCATAGAGGACCTTAGTGTTGGCAGTGTTAACCTACTGGCATAGAGGCCCTTCGTGTCGGCAGTGTAACCAAGACCCTAGAGGACCTTAGTGTTGGCAGTGTTAACCGACTGAACCATAGAGGACCTTAGTGTTGGCAGTGTTAACTACTGAGACCATAGAGGACCTTAGTGTTGGCAGTGTAACCTACTGAGACATAGAGGACCTTAGTGTTGGCAGTGTTAACCTACTGAGCCATAGAGGACCTTAGTGTGGCAGTGTTAACCTACTGAGCCATAGAGGACCTTAGTGTTGGCAGTGTTAACCTACTGAGACATAGAGGACCTTAGTGTTGGCAGTGTTAACCTACTGAGACATAGAGGACCTTAGTGTTGGCAGTGTTAACCTACTGAGACATAGAGGACCTTAGTGTTGGCAGTGTTAACCTACTGAGACATAGAGGACCTTAGTGTTGGCAGTGTTAACCTACTGAGCCATAGAGGACCTTAGTGTTGGCAGTGTTAACCTACTGAGCCATAGAGGACCTTAGTGTTGGCAGTGTTAACCTACTGAGACATAGAGGACCTTAGTGTTGGCAGTGTTAACCTACTGAGACATAGAGGACCTTAGTGTTGGCAGTGTTAACCTACTGAGACCATAGAGGACCTTAGTGTTGGCAGTGTTAACCTACTGAGACCATAGAGGACCTTAGTGTTGGCAGTGTTAACCTACTGAGACATAGAGGACCTTAGTGTTGGCAGTGTTAACCTACTGAGCCATAGAGGACCTTAGTGTCGGCAGTGTTAACCTACTGAGCCATAGAGGACCTTAGTGTTGGCAGTGTTAACCTACTGAACCATAGAGGACCTTAGTGTTGGCAGTGTTAACCTACTGAGACATAGAGGACCTTAGTGTTGGCAGTGTTAACCTACTGAGACATAGAGGACCCTTAGTGTTGGCAGTGTTAACCTACTGAGACATAGAGGACCTTAGTGTTGGCAGTGTTAACCTACTGAGACATAGAGGACCTTAGTGTTGGCAGTGTTAACCTACTGAGCCATAGAGGACCTTAGTGTTGGCAGTGTTAACCTACTGAGACATAGAGGACCTTAGTGTTGGCAGTGTTAACCTACTGAGACATAGAGGACCTTAGTGTTGGCAGTGTTAACCTACTGAGACATAGAGGACCTTAGTGTTGGCAGTGTTAACCTACTGAGACATAGAGGACCTTAGTGTTGGCAGTGTTAACCTACTGAACCATAGAGGACCTTAGTGTTGGCAGTGTTAACCTACTGAGCCATAGAGGACCTTAGTGTTGGCAGTGTTAACCTACTGAGACATAGAGGACCTTTAGTGTTGGCAGTGTTAACCTACTGACATAGGGACCTTAGTGTTGGCAGTGTTAACCTACTGAGCCATAGAGGACCTTAGTGTTGGCAGTGTTAACCTACTGAGACATAGAGGACCTTAGTGTTGGCAGTGTTAACCTACTGAGACATAGAGGACCTTAGTGTTGGCAGTGTTAACCTACTGAACCATAGAGGAATAATGCCATTTCAGATGTAGCCTAGGTGAGGTGAGGTAATGTTCATAGAAATCGAATCTACATTTTATTACCTGTTAGTGGCGCTGCCTGTCCGGTGGCGGTCCGGGTCAGGGCGCCCCCTGGCTGTGTGGAGGACAGCTGCACCGGGGGTTCCTAGAGCCACGGGGTCAGCTAGTGGTTAGGAGGTCAGGGTTCAGGGCTGGACACACGGGACTAGCCTGGGAGAGGGGCTGGCGGCTGGCTGGAACCCTGTTGGCATCGCTGAAGATGCTCGGAGCAGAATGTGTGTGTGTGTGTGTGTGTGTGTGTGTGTGTGTGTGTGTGTGTGTATGTAGTGGGGAGGTTGTCGTTCAGATTGGCGGGCCGAGGATCAGGACTCTGCCTGGATTTGATATGTTCTGACACTGCAGAGGAGGAGAGGAGGAGGGAGGAAGAGGAGGAGAGGAGGAGAGGAGGAAGAGACAAATGAGTTAGGTTGGATTCTCCTCCTGTGTACTTTGATGTGAGTGTCAGACACCAGAACTTCTCCTGCTTCCACCTCCTCTATCATCTATACTAAAACCTTTCAGCTGGCTGTCTGCCTGTCTGCCTGCCTGCCTGCCTGCCTGCCTGCCTGCCTGCATGCCTGCATGCCTGCCTGTCTGTCTGTCTGCCCGCCTGCCTGCCTGCCTGTCTGTCTGCCTGTCTCCACACTTCTCCTGATCCAGCCACTGACTAACACAGACACACGACACACTTAGTGACAGTGTTCCCCTTCGCTCTCTCTCCCTCCCAGGAGAATATCATGGACACCAGGCGGTGTAGCGCAGCGGCAGTCTGGTAATTCCACACCACTTCTAGGAGAACAGAATCTCTGTGTGTCTGTTTGCAAACATGGCCAAGAGCCCAGAGCGTAGAGATCACATTACAGTCACAGGTGTGTTACTCCCCTCCCCTCCGATGACTTGTGAGAACAGGGAAAAAACTCTAGTCTCTGTTATACAACAGGATTTGGAAAAGATCTGCCTCCATGGCAACAAAATCTCTTAGAAGAGAGAAAGCGGGCAAGCTAGGTGTTGGTATGTGGACTAGGTGTTGGTAAGTGGACTAGGTGTTGGTATGTGGACTAGGTGTTGGAATGTGGACTAGGTGTTGGCTTAGGTGTTGGTATGTGGACTAGGTGTTGGGTTAGGTGTTGGTATGTGGACTAGGTGTTGGTATGTGGACTAGGTGTTGGTATGTGGACTATGTGTTGGTATGTGGACTATGTGTTGGTATGTGGACTAGGTGTTGGTATGTGGACTAGGTGTTGGGTTAGGTGTTGTATGTGGACTAGGTGTTGGTATGTGGACTAGGTGTTGGTATGTGGACTAGGTGTTGGTATGTGGACTAGGTGTTGGTATGTGGACTAGGTGTTGGTATGTGGACTAGGTGTTAGGTGTTGGTATGTGGACTAGGTGTTGGTATGTGGACTAGGTGTTAGGTGTTGGTATGTGGACTAGGTGTTAGGTGTTGGTATGTGGACTAGGTGTTGGTATGTGGACTAGGTGTTGGTATGTGGTCTAGGTGTTGGTATGTGGACTAGGTGTTGGTATGTGGACTAGGTGTTGGTATGTGGACTAGGTGTTGGTATGTGGACTAGGTGTTGGGTTAGGTGTTGGTATGTGGACTAGGTGCTGGTTAGGTGTTGGTATGTGGACTAGGTGTTGGTATGTGGACTAGGTGTTGGTATGTGGACTAGGTGTTAGGTGTTGGTATGTGGACTAGGTGTTGGGTTAGGTGTTGGTATGTGGACTAGGTGTTGGGTTAGGTGTTGGTATGTGGACTAGGTGTTGATATTTGTATTTATTATGGATCCCCATTAGTTCCTGCCAAGGCAGCAGCTACTCTTCCTGGGGTCCAGCAAAATTAAGGCGGTTATACATTTTAAAAAAAACATTGCAATACATTCATAACAGATTTCACAACATATTAAGTGTGTGCCCTCAGGCAGCGAGAGGACGCGCAAGGGCGACAGAGCTCAGAGTGGGAGTTTGGGCGAGATGGGGGAGAGGAGAGGGGGAGAGGAGAGAGACGGAGGAGTGGCTAAAAGAACAAGTGGCTGTAAAAGTTAATGTCAACCCTTGACTGGGGTGTGCAGGACTTTGCTCCAGGCCTTCACTAACACACCCGTTTCCAACGCTGAACTAAAATCATGTTTTTTTTTCATTCTGGTGGGGACGGGATTATCTGAAGATGCTACGTTACTGCAGGGCTAGAATGAAAGCCTGCACCCCTGTGGCTAATCAACAGAGTGACTGAGCGGTTGTAGAAACCACCCACAGAGGAGAGAGAGAGCACGACTACAACACAACAGGAAACTACATGTATTGTCCTCCAGGGAAAGGAAGTCTCTTTACACCTTTATATAAACAACCCTGTACTAAAATACACTGACTAGAAACATCTAGAAGACAGGAAAGAGGTGGATCGCCAGGTCTGTTCTCTGCAGTGAGGTTGGTTCAGCCTGTGGGGTAGATACTAGATAGCCTGGTCTGTTCTCTGCAGTGAGGTTGGTTCAGCCTGGGGGGGTAGATACTAGATAGCCTGGTCTGTTCTCTGCAGTGAGGTTGGTTCAGCCTGTGGGGTAGATACTAGATAGCCTGGTCTGTTCTCTGCAGTGAGGTTGGTTCAGCCTGTGGGGTAGATACTAGATAGCCTGGTCTGTTCTCTGCAGTGAGGTTGGTTCAGCCTGTGGGGGTAGATACTAGATAGCCTGGTCTGTTCTCTGCAGTGAGGTTGGTTCAGCCTGTGGGGTAGATACTAGATAGCCTGGTCTGTTCTCTGCAGTGAGGTTGGTTCAGCCTGTGGGGTAGATACTAGATAGCCTGGTCTGTTCTCTGCAGTGAGGTTGGTTCAGCCTGTGGGGTAGATACTAGATAGCCTGGTCTGTTCTCTGCAGTGAGGTTGGTTCAGCCTGTGGGGTAGATACTAGATAGCCTGGTCTGTTCTCTGCAGTGAGGTTGGTTCAGCCTGTGGGGTAGATACTAGATAGCCTGGTCTGTTCTCTGCAGTGAGGTTGGTTCAGCCTGTGGGGTAGATACTAGATAGCCTGGTCTGTTCTCTGCAGTGAGGTTGGTTCAGCCTGTGGGGTAGATACTAGATAGCCTGGTCTGTTCTCTGCAGTGAGGTTGGTTCAGCCTGTGGGGTAGATACTAGATAGCCTGGTCTGTTCTCTGCAGTGAGGTTGGTTCAGCCTGTGGGGTAGATACTAGATAGCCTGGTCTGTTCTCTGCAGTGAGGTTGGTTCAGCCTGTGGGGTAGATACTAGATAGCCTGGTCTGTTCTCTGCAGTGAGGTTGGTTCAGCCTGTGGGGTAGATACTAGATAGCCTGGTCTGTTCTCTGCAGTGAGGTTGGTTCAGCCTGTGGGGTAGATACTAGATAGCCTGGTCTGTTCTCTGCAGTGAGGTTGGTTCAGCCTGTGGGGTAGATACTAGATAGCCTGGTCTGTTCTCTGCAGTGAGGTTGGTTCAGCCTGTGGGGTAGATACTAGATAGCCTGGTCTGTTCTCTGCAGTGAGGTTGGTTCAGCCTGTGGGGTAGATACTAGATAGCCTGGTCTGTTCTCTGCAGTGAGGTTGGTTCAGCCTGTGGGGTAGATACTAGATAGCCTGGTCTGTTCTCTGCAGTGAGGTTGGTTCAGCCTGTGGGGTAGATACTAGATAGCCTGGTCTGTTCTCTGCAGTGAGGTTGGTTCAGCCTGTGGGGTAGATACTAGATAGCCTGGTCTGTTCTCTGCAGTGAGGTTGGTTCAGCCTGTGGGGTAGATACTAGATAGCCTGGTCTGTTCTCTGCAGTGAGGTTGGTTCAGCCTGTGGGGTAGATACTAGATAGCCTGGTCTGTTCTCTGCAGTGAGGTTGGTTCAGCCTGTGGGGTAGATACTAGATAGCCTGGTCTGTTCTCTGCAGTGAGGTTGGTTCAGCCTGTGGGGTAGATACTAGATAGCCTGGTCTGTTCTCTGCAGTGAGGTTGGTTCAGCCTGTGGGGTAGATACTAGATAGCCTGGTCTGTTCTCTGCAGTGAGGTTGGTTCAGCCTGTGGGGTAGATACTAGATAGCCTGGTCTGTTCTCTGCAGTGAGGTTGGTTCAGCCTGGGGGGGTCGATACTAGATAGCCTGGTCTGTTCTCTTCAGTGAGGTTGGTTCAGCCTGTGGGGTAGATACTAGATAGCCTGGTCTGTTCTCTGCAGTGAGGTTGGTTCAGCCTGTGGGGTAGATACTAGATAGCCTGGTCTGTTCTCTGCAGTGAGGTTGGTTCAGCCTGTGGGGTAGATACTAGATAGCCTGGTCTGTTCTCTGCAGTGAGGTTGTAGGTTAGTCCCCTGTAGCTCAGTTGGTAGGGCATGGCGCTTGCAATGCCAGGGTTGTGGGTTCGTTTCCCACGGGAGGGCCAGTATGAAAATGTATGCACTCACTAACTGTAAGACGCTCTGGATAAGAGCGTCTGCTAAATGACTAAAATGTAAAATGTTTACCAAACATTAGTAACACCTTCCGAATATTGAGTTGCACCCCCCCCCCCCCCCCACACACTTTTGACCTTTTAACAGCCTCAATTCGTCGGGGCATGAACTCTACTAGAGTCAAAAGCGTTCCACAGGGATGCTGGCCCATGTTGACTCCAATGCTTCCAACAGTTGTGTCAAGTTGGCTGGATGTCCTTTGGGTGGTGGACCATTCTTGATACACGGGAAACTGATGAGCGTGAAAAACCCTGCAGCGTTGCAGTTCTTGGCACAAACCGGTGCGTCTGGCACCTACTACCGTACCCCGTTCAAAGGCACTTCAATCTTTTGTCTTGCCCATTCACCCTCTGAATGGCACACATACACAATCCATGTCTCAATTGTCTCAAGGCTGAAAAATCCTTCTTTAACCTGTCTCCTCCCCTTCATCTACACTGATTGAAGTGGATTAAAACAAGTGACATCAATAAGGGATCATAGCTTTCACCTGGATTCACCTGGTCAGTCTATGTCATGGAAAGAGCAGGGGTTCTTAGTGATTTGTCCACTCAGCGTGTGTCTCATAGAGACAGTGCCTGAGGAGGGTGTGGTGTAACAGGACTCAATGCTGCCAGAGGAGGAATTAACACTTATAGGAAGGACTGCTGAGACATGTAGCGGCTACGCTACATAATAACACATAGCTACCCTGCAGAACAGCTATGCTAACAACATGTAACTAGCTAGTAGTTACCCTGCAGAACAGCTAGGCTAACAACATGTAACCAGCTAGTAGCTACCCTGCAGAACAGCTAGGCTAACAACATGTAACTAGCTAGTAGCCACCCTGCAGAACAGCTAGGCTAACAACATGTAACTAGCTAGTAGCCACCCTGCAGAACAGCTAGGCTAACAACATGTAACTAGCTAGTAGCCACCCTGCAGAACAGCTAGGCTAACAACATGTAACTAGCTAGTAGCCACCCTGCAGAACAGCTAGGCTAACAACATGTAACTGGCTAGTAGCCGCACCTGCAGAACAGCTAGGCTAACAACATGTAACTAGCTAGTAGCTAGTAGCCACCCTGCAGAACAGCTAGGCTAACAACATGTAACTAGCTAGTAGCCACCCTGCAGAACAGCTAGGCTAACAACATGTAACTAGCTAGTAGCCACCCTGCAGAACAGCTAGGCTAACAACATGTAACTAGCTAGTAGCCACCCTGCAGAACAGCTAGGCTAACAACATGTAACTAGCTAGTAGCCACCCTGCAGAACAGCTACGCTAACAACATGTAACTAGCTAGTAGCTACCCTGCAGAACAGCTAGGCTAACAACATGTAACTAGCTAGTAGCCACCCTGCAGAACAGCTAGGCTAACAACATGTAACTAGCTAGTAGCCACCCTGCAGAACAGCTAGGCTAACAACGTGTAACTAGCTAGTAGCCACCCTGCAGAACAGCTAGGCTAACAACATGTAACTAGCTAGTAGCCACCCTGCAGAACTGCTAGGCTAACAACATGTAACTGGCTAGTAGCTACCCTGCAGAACAGCTAGGCTAACAACATGTAACTAGCTAGTAGCTACCCTGCAGAACAGCTAGGCTAACAACATGTAACTAGCTAGTAGCCACCCTGCAGAACAGCTAGGCTAACAACATGTAACTGGCTAGTAGCTACCCTGCAGAACAGCTAGGCTAACAACATGTAACTAGCTAGTAGCCACCCTGCAGAACAGCTAGGCTAACAACATGTAACTAGCTAGTAGCTACCCTGCAGAACAGCTAGGCTAACAACATGTAACTAGCTAGTAGCCACCCTGCAGAACTGCTAGGCTAACAACATGTAACTGGCTAGTAGCTACCCTGCAGAACAGCTAGGCTAACAACATGTAACTAGCTAGTAGCTACTCTGTATGCTGGGGACCCGGCTGTGGCTGTCTAGGGCAGGAGATAAGTTAACCCTGCTACTGAGGCCCACTCCTGACTCAAACCCAGCCTGACTATCAACGGTATCACTCCAACCAGTAAAAACAACCCCAGTGGCCTGGTCTGGGCACACTGCCCCGCTCCAGTGGTTCCCCCCACCAGAGTTGGGGTCAATTCTGTTCCATTTCGTCAATTAAGGAAGTAGGCCTAAATGTACCATTCTAATTCTTCTCAATTGCATTTCCTTGATTACTCGCGTCCTCTCTCCTCACCACCTTCTCAAAACCAATTCAACGAGAAGGTTAGATGTTCCTCCCCTCTGATCTTCTCAGCCGATGGGTTTTGAGGCGGCGGTCGAGAGGACGCAAAGAATGAAGGGAATGAAAGTGAGATTGTCCCTTAGCGTTGTGTTGACAACGCAGCCCACCATGTTGTCTCAGAAACCATGTAGGGTAATACACTGAGCTGACGCTGGGCCGAGGCTACTGGGCTGAGACCAGGCTACCGGGCTGAGCTGGAGACCAGGCTACCGGGCTGAGCTGGAGACCAGGCTACCGGGCTGAGACCAGGCTACCGGGCTGAGCTGGAGACCAGGCTACCGGGCTGAGACCAGGCTACCGGGCTGAGACCAGGCTACCGGGCTGAGCTGGAGACCAGGCTACCGGGCTGAGCTGGAGACCAGGCTACCGGGCTGAGCTGGAGACCAGGCTACCGGCCCGGGCTGAGCTGAGCTGGAGACCAGGCTACCGGGCTGAGCTGGAGACCAGGCTACCGGGCTGAGCTGGAGACCAGGCTACCGGGCTGGGCTGAGACCAGGCTACCGGGCTGAGCTGGAGACCAGGCTACCGGCCCGGGCTGAGCTGAGCTGGAGACCAGGCTACCGGGCTGAGCTGGAGACCATGTTATTTGTTTTACCATGGAAACCTCCAGATAATAGCAGCGTTGTGTTGTTGTTGTGTAAGACATGCTCAGAGAACAACACGTTTCTACATCACGCTGCAGGGTTTAAATCTCTCTAACCACTTCTAATGGTTCAGTCCACAACAGCACAACATCTAACCGTGGCGGAGGTTTCATCTATTGGCTCTTCAAGGCCAAAAAGGGGAGGGTTCAAACAGAGGACAGCCATTAGCGTCAGTCTTGGTAGATTAGAATTCTGTTGATGTTGATGACTGTTGATATAGGGCGGCAGGTAGCTTAGTGGTTAAGAGCGTTGTGCCCAGTAACCGAAAGGTCGCTGGTTCTAATCCCCGAGCCGACTAGGTTGAAAAATCTGTCGATGTGCCCTTGAGCAAGGCACTTAACCGTAATCGCTCCTGTAAGTCGCTCTGGATAAGAGCGTCTGCTAAATGACTAAAATGTAAATGTAATGACTAAATGGTGTATGATGTCAAATATCGAAGGTTCTTACCTTATCCTCCTTCCTCTTCACTCTCTCTCTCGCTCTTCCATCCACTGTTCTTTCTTCTACGGGCTGTTTGCCTGTAGAGGCAGAGTGGGGAGGGGGAGACGTTAGTCTATATACCACACAAGGGCACAAGATCACAAGATCATTTTCGTATCGGTGGCACCAGCGGGAATCAAACCCAATTAACACATGAACACTGGGCAGTAATGGGCACCATGTTACCACCAGGCCTGTAGCGGAGTTGCTGGTCAGTACTGCATCAGTAGAGGACCAATGAACCCCCAGCCAGGAGAGAACTGCTGCTGCCTGCTAATCTCTTTATGGGATTCCAGCACTGCATTACTACTCTAGAGACACTCACCCCCACCCCCTCTCACTAACTGGCCCCAACTCACTTTTACTAACACACAGGCCCGGACCAGTCTGAGCCGTGCTCTTCAGAACAAGCTGTTCCGAACCGGTTCAGGGAACAGAACCAAAAAAAGAAATACAAAATTCCAGGAGCAGAAACGGAATCTGGAACGAAAGTGATCCAAACTGTTCCGGAACAGAACTGTTATTTTAAAAGCATGGGAACCGGTTAATAACGTTATTTTATTCCCTATGTAGTGCACCCTATTCCCTATGTAGTGTACCCTATTCCCTATTGTAGTGCACCCTATTCCCTATGTAGTGCACCCTATTCCCTATTGTAGTGCACCCTATTCCCTATGTATTGCACCCTATTCCCTATGTATTGCACCCTATTCCCTATGTATTGCACCCTATTCCCTATGTAGTGCACCCTATTCCCTATGTAGTGCACCCTATTCCCTATGTAGTGCACCCTATTCCCTATGTAGTGCACCCTATTCCCTATGTAGTGCACCCTATTCCCTATGTAGTGCACCCTATTCCCTATGTAGTGCACCCTATTCCCTATGTAGTGTACCCTATTCCCTATGTAGTGCATTGCTACTTTTGGACAGGCTCTGATACTAGGTTCTGGACTGGATCCTTATTTCAGCGAATGATTAATCAGTCTGGATATTATGCACAACTTTATGCGACGAGACACATTTTTGGAATAGTTGGCAAATTTCCAGAAGTTTCCCCCCCCCCCCAAAACGTTTTATAATTTTTTTAGTCTAACCCCGTCTGTGCCTGTGCAGGGTAGAGTTGGTGCCTCTGTCTGAGGGTGAGGAGAGGATGAGGTCTTTCTGGAGGGGCAGGAGGAGCGTGGGAACTCAGTCTGTTGACCTCAGGGTCACCAAGGGAACAAAAAAGATTCAGTCTGTCACCAAATCAGCTCCACTACCCAACTCCCCTCCACCACGGCTCAGGACTAGGTTGGCACCATGGCACCCTGTTCCCTAGAAAATCCACTACTACTTCTGACTAAAATCCACCACATGTCATAACGGCTGCTACATGGGGTCATAACGGCTGCTACGTGGACCATGGGGTCATAACGGCTGCTACGTGGACCATGGGGTCATAACGGCTGCTACATGGACCATGGGGTCATAACGGCTGCTACATGGGGTCATAACGGCTGCTACATGGGGTCATAACGGCTGCTACATGGGGTCATAACGGCTGCTACATGGACCATGGGGTCATAACGGCTGCTACATGGACCATGGGGTCATAACGGCTGCTACATGGACCATGGGGTCATAACGGCTGCTACATGGGGTCATAACGGCTGCTACATGGGGTCATAACGGCTGCTACATGGACCATGGGGTCATAACGGCTGCTACATGGGGTCATAACGGCTGCTACATGGGGTCATAACGGCTGCTACATGGACCATGGGGTCATAACGGCTGCTACATGGACCATGGGGTCATAACGGCTGCTACATGGGGTCATAACGGCTGCTACATGGACCATGGGGTCATAACGGCTGCTACATGGGGTCATAACGGCTGCTACATGGACCATGGGGTCATAACGGCTGCTACGTGGACCATGGGGTCATAACGGCTGCTACATGGGGTCATAACGGCTGCTACATGGACCATGGGGTCATAACGGCTGCTACATGGACCATGGGGTCATAACGGCTGCTACATGGACCATGGGGTCATAACGGCTGCTACGTGGACCATGGGGTCATAACGGCTGCTACATGGGGTCATAACGGCTGCTACATGGACCATGGGGTCATAACGGCTGACTGGACCATGGGGTCATAGGCTGCTACATGGGGTCATAACGCTGCTACATGGGGTCATAACGGCTGCTACATGGGGTCATAACGGCTGCACTGGGTCATAACGGCTGCTACTGGACCATGGGGTCATAACGGCTGCTACTGGACCATGGGGTCATAACGGCTGCTACGTGGACCATGGGGTCATAACGGCTGTGGGTCAT